AAATGTTCGTTATTATTGAAAATATCTTTCGTTGTATTACGGACCCTTTAATTTGATACATACGTATGTGTATTCAATTTATTACAAATAATTTCTCAACCATCATCAGATAGCTTAACCTAATGCCCCCATGAATGCGCATATCAATGGCAATTCTCTAACCAGCCGGCAGAAAATATAGTAAAACCTTGCGCTTAAATATTTTTAGCTTTCTTCTTATTTTCACTATACTTATACTGAGTCTGTATAAAAACAGGTATATATATGTAGCGGCTACTGCTAGTGAACACGCACTATAGCCATGGCGTAATAACTCGTAAACAGTTACTGATAATCTGTATTTACAAAAATGTGATCAAACAATTTGGACTTTTGCTTTAGTTTCTTAGTTGTTTTCTGATTATTTGTCTTATATTTGATATTGTAGTAATAACATATTTACTAAAGGTATACATAGATATACTATGTATATACATACATATATACATTTATATTCCAGCATCAAGTTATTTCTAAAATCTGGTTTTCTATAATGTTTTTCCCCCATTTTTAGAACTCTGAAAAAAAGATTGCTGGCGCATTTTGTGCATTTTTTTTAGCTTATATCGAATGTTATGGAGATAATGGGGTTTAGAGTCAAAAGCCTATTTATATGGCTTGGCTCTCAGGATGACATAATTTGAATGTAAAAATTTAAATGTTATGGCCTAGCATCTTTGCATAATTTTAGTACATGTTAACATGCTTTAACCACTTATAGCCTATAATTATCACCGGGAGATCCATGTTTTCTGTTCAAAATATGTTTAAAGACTCTCTATATGTTGAAAAGTTTTTATAGATTATAATTGTAGGCTTATTTACTATTCTACTTTTACCTCGTTTTTGAAGTACCAGTATATTTGTAAAGAGATTAGTAATTCGTTAATCATAGTCCAAAGGTTAAAATTACCTAGATAAGCAGTTTCAGTTATAGCTTTATCAATTCAAAAGCAAACGCTTTAATTATAAATAATAAGAATTATCGCTATCACATAAGGAAAGGGAACAAATAAATCTAAAGCGTTAGATAGAATGTATATATATATATATGTGTATATACATAAATGAAATCATATTACTCGGACTGGTTCATTTAAACTGCGCGCGCAAACTGAATCGATACAAATTTTTTGCTAAATTGGACAACCCATTTTATGTTCGTTTGAAGTATGATATCATATGTCTGGCGATTTTTACCATGGGAAAAATGGACAACGAGTTTGCTTGAGTTTCTAATGGTTACGGAAGTGGTGAAAATGTTGCAGAAGTGTTTTGGGGTTTCTACTTTATCATGGTCACAATTATTTGAGTGGCACAAAGTATTCAGTGAAGATCGTGGCGTCATTGAAAACTTACAGTGCCTGAAAATCGACGTGTTAGCATCAGAGAGATAACAGAAAATATCAGCATCTCTTATGAATCGGCTGAACACATTTTGATTAATGTTATGGGTAGAAAGCGTGTTAACGCTATATTCGTAGCAAAAGAACTGATTTTTGCAAAAAAGACATCGAGTATACGTCACAAAAGAGATGCTTGACCACATAGCTGAAAACACTACATTCATCAAACTCATCATTACTGATGACAGGACGTGGGTTTATGAATTTAACGTTGAACGTTTCAACGAATAGCGCTAGCGGAAACCCGAAAAGCCAATTTTTGTTTTAAGCATTGACAGCCAATTACAGTGAAGCTATTAACACTTTTATTGTCTCCCTCCCAATGAATGGCGTACTTGGAGTCGAAACACAACCTATCGCCGTGAGCTCGCGTTTCCGCGTGAAACTAGAGTGACCCATGCGGAACTTCATTGTGGATACTGTAACAGGTTAAAGGCCTACTTATCCAGAAAAGACCTTGACATACTAAACATATGTCCTGCATACAAAGAGTCGCCGCATGTCATTAACCATCTGTTTGCATGGGACGCCAAACTAATTTACTTATCACATCTCTGCCTTTGGTCCGATCCTGTCGAAACAGTTCTACGGCTAAGTGCTTTCAATAACAGTTGATTTTGCACTTTCTCCACACAGGGCTTAAGCACTCGTGACAACAATAATAACAAGTGCGTAAAAGATTAGATTAATTGTATAAGCAGAAAATAAGCCTATTTTGAAGACGATAATAAATATAATATTTGCATTTAAATACATAAAACTGTTTTTTGTCAGTCCGGGTCAAATTCAGGTCAGATCAGTTCTTTATGGACAATTTCTCGTTTATGAAAAAAAATTCATTGTTTTTTTTCAAATTAATGTTATTATTTCTACTCTTTTCCTTCCTTTTTCTTTAAGTAATTTTCGAGAAAAAAAAACTAGCATCATAATCCAAAAAAAAGCCGGCTTTAAACCATTTCTTCTTTATCAAAATCTGTCACATAAACATAATTTTTACATGCCTACTACTATATACAGATTGGTTGACAAGTTACTGCGCTTGAAATGAAAAAATACTGTTATTGATACGAAATATATTTTTTTATTCAATATAATCTCACTTAACTTCAATACACTTATTCTCATGATCCTCCAATAATTGTATGCCATCCCTACAAGTATAATGACTTTCCGGAAGCTCTGCAAAATACCCGTCTACGGCTGTAATAGCTTCTTCATTCGATCAAAAACGCTTTCCACGCAGGAATTGTTTCAGGTTTCTGAAGAGGTAGTAGTCGCTGGGCCCCAAACCTGGTGAATACGGTGGATGCTCAGTCCATTCGTACTTTAATTCGTTAAATTTTGTCATTGTTAAAACATCTTTGTGAACAGGTGCATTGTCTTGATAAAAAATGATTTTTTTGTGCTGCAAACCAGGTTTTTCTAACGATATTGTTCATCAACTGATCCAAAAGGCTGCAATAATATTCAGAGTTAATCCACTGTAAACGTTTTGTATTTCAATTTAGGATCCAAGTCTCATCCATAGTTATAAAACGATGCAAGAAATCAGTTTTATTCTGCAAAAAACGTTCTAAATTATGCTGAGAAATTTGTTTTCGATTCCGTTTTTTTTGAATTGTTAGCGTGTGCGGCACTAACTTTCCAAACAGCTGTTTCATATTTATCATATCATATCACATTTTTTCCATATCAAAAAAATACTCCGACACGTCAACTTCAAATGTCAATGACTTGTAACTTTGCATGTGTTCTCACGACAGCTGTACCAACTCGAGAAAAAAATTTGGGCTAGTAGTGCTATTTCTTAATGAGAGCAGACACTTCAGTACCAACCTGTATTCTTTGTGTACCCAAGCACTTCTTATCACGGACTTTTTTCTTATTTCATTTCACTTGTCATTTGTGCGTCATGGATTTAATCTTTGTGCTAATTAGCTATTCGAAATCAGCAAATCCTCACACATTAACGAACGCATTCTATGTACATTTAATCAGGCACTTATACCCTGACCTTCACAGCTGTATTGCAATTTCAAAAATACGCAAAGTATGGCAATTCGCTCGGGGACTTCATGCCATCACCTATGAAACAACATATTCATACCTTCTTCCTGGTTGGTTGCAACAATCTTAATCCTTATTTGTTAGGAGGAAAGTTTTTCTTGGTAGAAAACAAAAACATAAGATGTCATCGAGTTGGATTAAACTCTATGAATTTGATTTCTTCGTTTGCAATGCTTAAAAACTTGCAGCTTAGTCGAAATGAAGCAGAAAAGTATTTAAATATCAGAGAGAATCATAAAGGACTTAGTAATGAATGGTTAAGGTTGACATAAGCGCTTTTTGGAAGAACGATTTGGAATTAAGTGTATGTGACTTATGTTTTTGAGTATTTTTGCTTCAAAACGTACCCTATTCTTAGTTATATCGAAATTACAGAATTCGAATTCCAATAATTATACGCTGTAGAAAATGAGAGCAGAATTTTATATCTTAAAACTGATTATAACCATTTGAAGGCCCCACTGAAAATGTCTTAACAATATTTTTGAAGGACATTTTCATCTCCTACCGACCCCCTAAGTTAATTATTTCTGATTCTTTGAAACAAGTACCAATATGACCCAAATGGTCAGGGTCAAAAAGAATAAAATATGTGTGATTATATTGACTTAAGTCGATTTGAGCTAATGGTTTAAGTTTGAGTTATACTGACTGAATTATTCGAAAGTAGTGGCGTAAACAATTCCCTTAAACCGAAAGCTTCATATTCCGAAATATTTACTATAATTTGATCAAATCAAACAAAATATGACGTTAACTTCCGACTGTATCGAGCGGTAATACCCTTCACAGCTGCATTTATTAGAGCATAAACGGATATAAAATATCTTAATTTTGAACGATCAGTTTGTATGGCAGCTATATGCGGTAGTGATACGATCTGAATAATTTATTCGGAGATTTTAGCATTGGCTTGGATAATAAAAATAAAATGTTAATTTTCGTGAAGATATCTCGTCGAATAAAAAGTTTCCCTTACAAGGACGTGTATTTGATTGTTCAGTGTGTATGGCAACTATGTATATCATATAGGTCTCCCTCAAAATGAGCAGCTTCTTGGTCAAAAAAGAACGTCTGAAAAATTCAAAAATCAAATCAGATCCATGCCTATGAGTTACTAGTTCGTGTATATACAGACAGGTATTTCTTGTTGAGAGTATAAATATCAGCTACGCTTAAGTTGACAATGATTACTCTGCTTAACGATTTTATAGAATTCGGAAAACAACCAATTTTTATATATAACCAAGCTTTTAAAATGTTTTTCGTTTATAAATCCTTTTTTTATATACATATGTATGTATAGTTCTCACAATCATTATTGATATTTTGTCTGCACCCCAAATGAAGCTCAACAAATGACATGAGTTTCCAGCTGCTAATTAAATTGTGTACGAAATTAGTTTTTCATCTGTTACCATTATGATTATGCCGCCTCGTGAAGTCCTAAATTACTCATGTAATAATTGTGTATTTGTATGTTTTCAGTTTGCAATGAGCCGTCTTCTCGAGAAGCCCAACATAGCGATGTCCATTAAGTCGTCGTCAGGTAGTCAATTGTCCTCAAGTGCTGCAACCGCCGGTAATGCAACCGCATTAAGTGTTAGCGCCAGTGAAGTAGCAGTGCAAAGTCCAACGGAAACGATCACAAGTCCAACCGCAGTCATCAGTTCGAGTACAAATAATAACGGTGAGATAGACGAGAATAGAAGGCAAATTTCATAATTTCTAACTTAAATTTTAACTTTCCTCACACCACTTCAGGAACTCACACAATTTTCGATGAAGTCTTTATAAGTTTAGTGTCCGGTTCAGCGGCTGGAGCTTTGGCGAAAACCACTATTGCTCCTCTGGATCGCACAAAAATCAATTTTCAAATAAGGTGAGGTTTTGGTTTTGAATAGCAAAATTTAATGTTTCGTCTAAACGCCTTGATTAAATATTTTCTACAGTAAAAACGTTCCCTACTCATTTAAAGCGGCGATCACTTTTCTTAAGAATACCTACGAAAAGGAGGGTATTTTGGCGTTATGGCGCGGCAATTCGGCGACCATGGCGCGTATTGTGCCTTATGCAGCCATACAATTCACGGCGCACGAGCAGTGGCGAAAGATTCTGCAAGTCGATAAGGATGGTAGCGAGTAAGTTTCAAGATACATATAAGGAATAATATGAATAACTCGTCGCTTTTGCATGGTTGACTGTGCAGAAAATGCGAATTTTCATTGTAAACGCCCAAATTTTTCCATTTATACTAAAATTTAATAACAATTTTATTTTTCACCAGCACGAAAGGCAGACGTTTTATAGCCGGTTCATTGGCTGGCATAACCTCACAGTCTCTGACTTACCCGCTGGATTTGGCACGTGCCCGAATGGCCGTAACGGACAAATACACCGGATACAGGTATGTAAACGGGATTTCAAGGAAGTCATTTAATTGTATACTGTCATTTTGGTTTTCTTACAGAACGCTACGTCAAGTTTTTGTAAAAATTTGGGTCGAAGAAGGACCGCGCACACTTTATCGTGGCTATTTCGCGACCGTTTTGGGCGTGATACCTTACGCCGGTGTTTCTTTCTTTACCTATGGCACACTCAAACGTGAATATTATGGTAAGTGTACACAAAAAAAAAATTCCGTTACTTTTCAACTATTTCCGGGGAATGCCTTAGAGAGTCATAATAGTATAAAATTTTCTTCTAATGGAAATAATTTTTTATTATTAATACCGTAAAAACCCAGCCACCCGGGTTGGGTAACAATCGTACCGTCAAGGAGTTTAATCACAACAGCAACCACATTTAAAGTTATAGCAGACAAGTTTTCTCTATCTCTCGAGTATATTTCTTAGTTGAAGAAGTTTTTCATAACAACTTCTTAACCTTTCGAAACTTCCTAAGATATACGAAATGAACCAAATATTTGATTCCTCTTTAACGATTTACTATAATATACATATATAAATTAATAAAACTATTTTCCCGCTCCTCTAAACACAGTTTGTGCGATATTTGTAATTATTATGAATTAAAAAATCCTGAAATTCAATCGAATTCATCGATACCATTGAAAATCAGAATTGTTTTGAGATTCTGTCAATTTAGCAAATCTGACTATGTTTCCACAGCAGTGCTGATTGCTTACCAAACTAATAAGAATTAAGTTCTTGTTATCAATAAGCTCTTATTTATTCATATTCTCATTAGATGATCGTGAGCATCACTCCTGATTTCTAACCAGTAAACAGAGTCTGCGTGATCACAGCAACCAAAGTCAAATTTAGCTCCTGTTGGTCTTTTAATAACCTAATAACATACTATATTTTATACATTTTCAGAGGTGACGGGAAACGCGAAACCGAACACTCTAGTCACACTTGCATTTGGCGCTGTAGCCGGCGCAGCAGGTCAAACATCCAGTTACCCACTGGACATAGTGCGTCGGCGTATGCAAACAATGGGCGTCAATAAAGGCGCCAACAATCAATATCGCACCATATACTCAACCTTGAAGAAAATTTATAAGTAAGTACATAACTGTAAAACTGGCAACAAATGGGTGTACTCTTAACTAAAACATACACTGTTTATGTTTTGCTACTTGCAGAGAGGAAGGTATAAAAAATGGCTTCTACAAAGGGTTGAGCATGAACTGGATCAAGGGCCCGATCGCGGTTGGCATCAGCTTTTCTGCCTACGATTTAATTAAGGAGCTGCTTAGAGAATTATTCCATTTGAAACGCGGTCGATACGATGCGTAAATTATGAAATTGTTATTGTTTATATTTTAATGATATTTATATGTATTGTTATGTTAAATTTTCTTATTTTTAATTTGGAAAAAATTACTAAACGGTATACTAAGGGACGAAAATTATTGAAAGTGAATTAAAAAATATAAACCATGCATTACTGGTATATATATTACCGATAAACTGAGTAAACGAGCAACGTTCAATTATTTTATATAAATATTTACAATGCGCACGTGTACATGCATATAAGTATGTGAGTTCGAATATATGCAGTGCAAATTGCCACCTATAACTTCTATATGTAATATGTTAGAATATGTATATGCAACGTTAACCGATTTAGCTTCGAATTTGTGGCGAGCCAAGTTTTGTTCCTTTTTATATGTGTTAATATAATATATACAATAAATAAATATAAAATATGAGTAATTTAATGTTTTAAAATATATTAAGCACAATGCGACAATAAATCTTAACTGATTTTTTCATATACATACATATGTACATGCATAATTATCTACAAGTTGCATACAATCTTTTAGCTACGGATTGTACATACATACATGTCCGGATGTCATGTATACTTAAGAAAGGCATTTTTAGCTGTTTCAAACTTTTTTTTTCAAAAACTGTGTAATAGAGTGGAATGTTTCTTATTTACACATAGTACATATATAAGATAAAAGCTAATTTTGTTGTACAAATAACAAATACCATTTAATTGCTTATATATATTTCCTGCCGTTTAGTTGTACAACTATAAATTGCGCGCATAAATGCATAGTAACTGGATTTTTGAAGTTTCGTAGGTTTTTTAGTGGATTGTCTATTGTCAAAAATTGTAAAGATATTGTAAATAAATAGAAAACTAAAATGAAACTGTCGTATTTTTTTATTGTTACGCTGTTAAATAATATTGTTCGAATCGTAATTGTTGTAATGGCAAATGTTGTTATATTTTATTTTTACTTGTGCTGGACAGACATGTTAGCGCTTAGTAAATATTGGAAAAGCATAATTAGTTGGAATTATGGCCTAATAGAGATCCCCCTTATGGAGTATGAATGCATTCTGTGGGAGAATATACTGTTATTGTTGTTGTAGCGGCAGAATTCTGCCGCGTGATAGTCCTTGGCCGGTATAAATCCGCGCCCGTTTCGGTTATGTAGAGCCGACTGTCGTGGGAACGGTGGTAGGAATATATACTCGTAATGCATCGTTGGTTAACTATAACTGGAGCCTTACTTACTGAAGATTAAGAGAAATGACCAAAGGGCCACATCTAGCGTGAAATTAAAAAACAAAAAACATTTTTTTACATTTCGATAGGGCATGGAAATTACATACTAAAATTTTAAATCGATATTTCAAATAGTATACTCAATGAGTATATTCGGAAAAACTTTGCGATATGCCATATGCCATCTCGAGTCTAAAAATTGTCAAACTCGGACCATAACTGTTCAAGCCCCCACATACCGAATATATGAACCCCAGTGTGGTTGACTTTTTGCTGAAAAGATCGGTCAATCTGTGAGATATATGCTTGAAATTCGGCGAAAATGTTTCTTTGATAATGCTTTAATTATTTGTTGTATCGATGTATATTGCCGATTGGCGTTTGAATAAATATATAAATAAATAACTTCACTTCGCGCACTTCACTACTTCCCTTAAAGATTTTAGAACTTTCGACATACATTATACCACATAAATCGGCCAATGTGGAAGTTATTTTAATTAAAGTAGTAATCTGGTAACTTGCATTTTTTAATACTTTTTTTAGGAATATTTTATTTGGAAAAAATAAAATTCAATCAGCTTCATTTTGTAATATATTATTAATAGTATCTAAGTGTACAAAAAAGTTATTTTTTTTTGGAATTTGTTGTTTCATTGCACTGTAGGGAGCGTCTTAAAAAAAGGTGGTTGGCCCCGGTGATTTGGTCGCTTGAGGACATCTGAAATAGAAAAATCAAAAAGATTATTGTTCTGTGAGCTTGTCATTCTGGTTGGAATTAAGATTAAACAATTTCGTTGAAAAATAAAAAAATGATTGACGTCGAAAAAAAAGAATTTTTTAAAGTAGAAATCGGGCTGTAAAATGGAAAGTTAGCGAGCTAACTAGTTCCTGCGAGAGCCATTGATGAGTAGAATAACATATTAAAATTTTAGCCCAATCGGTTGGAACAATTTTTTTTATCTGCGTTTCAACAACAGATTAAATATGGTTATATTTATGGTATATGCGTACTACTACGAGACGTTCACATATATTATAGGTGCTATAACTTCGTCAACATTTCAATTTTCTTTTTAAAATTTTTATAATGTATTCTTAATATATACTTAGTACTTTCGAAAAAAATCAACTTACCAGACTACTAATTTAAGAGAGCGTGTTTTTCTAATAACAGTGTACCATTGTGCCTAAAATGGATAATATCTGGCGGAAGCTACCCTTAGCCGTCAACCAAAAATTAAAGCATTTAGCCCTTCCAGTTATATGCCCCCAAAGATTTTAATATAATTTTCGATGAAGGGAAGTAAAATATAGTAATAAAACTAAGGGAGGCTATGACCTTCAAAATAAGTTAATATTATATGATACCAAATTTGATTGTAATCTATTCACGATTTCGTCAATGTTAAACCCTTTCGCTATATTTTTTTATATTACCAACACCTGAACGTTTTTAGCCGGCTTTGACCTGTGCAATTTGCACAAGTATGAAATATTCGGTTACACCCGAACTTAGCCCTTACTTGTTCATTTTATTTTTTCGACCGTAAGTCATTATACGGGCAGTATCTTCTAGTGGAGAATTTTTTATTATACGGTTCATTAACGGAGAAGGCTGAAATTACTGCAGCTGTCGGAGATAGCGTGTAACTTGAAAAATATTTAATTTTATTCTTCAAAAACTTTATTGTATATTCTTAAAATACATACATATGTATCAATATATGGTATAAGTATGTACTTTAAATTTTTCACTAAAATATTTTTAATGAAATACGTAAAGCAAAACTGTTTATCAAAGAACGCAAAGCAGAGATACGCAAAGTCTTTGTTTATTAGCAAAATTTATTTGTATATTAATGTGAGAGAGATAGTGGCAACGCTATATATTTATTTCACAATTGAACACATGAGAAATATTTTCAAATTGGGAAATGTTTTTTTGTTGTGTTAAGTTTTTGTTTTATCTTCATTAACGGAGAATTTATCTATTCTAAGGTTGAACTAGCATAGCGTGACGTGGCGTTCTAGGGGAAGTAGTAGTCCTTTCGGTTATTTTGTGGCTGGGTAACAAAGGTCTAAATTAAAAAAAGTTTGGAACTAAAGTTTCGTCCATACAAACTGTTTTTTGTGATATTAAGCTGCACATGAAACTACCTCCTTTGATATCTAAAGAACATGTTTTACAAATTTCATCAAGATATCTCAAGTTTTACTCAGGTTATCGCTTGCACGGATAAGCGGCCAAACGAACGGATATAAAGAACGACATCCGGTAATCAATTGTTATCGTCGTAAATATCACTTTGACAACCTTATATGTATCCCGACCTCCTTTAACTATTACCAGCAAGCGTTAGATGAACAAACCTATTTAACATGTACTGCTTGTTTTATGATCTTCTAAGTGGTTGGAACAGTTTAGAATTTTTCAATATCGAAAAAAATGCTGGCTTAAAGTACACTTTAGATTCCTAAAAACATTATTCCATTGGTAGAATAGTGAAAAAAGATTTCCTGTTCGACCCGTTGTAATGTTGAAGCGCTTTTGTAAGACAGTTTCAACTAAAAGTTAAAAATCGTTTTTCTTAAAACTTAATTTGTTAAATCGGGCAATAGTAGAACATGTAAACTATCGCACGTATCAACTTAAAAATTTAACTGTAGCTACACAGTGACATTATCAAGTAAACTACGATTTTTTTGTTATTGTTTACAATTTACTGATAATTGCTTTTTTTATTTATTTTTAAAAAACACATGCATATCTATCTACTTTACTAGCAATTTTCCGGTTCCGTTTTTTTTATTTCATACTCTTTTGAATGAAATTATGCTAAAGATTGGCCACCATTTTGTATAGGAATGTCAAGATACAAGTTTTTTACAAACTCAAATACTTGTTTGATAATGGCTGGAAGAAAGAAAATTGTTCTCTTTTCCCAGTTATAATTGTCAAAGTTAAGCTCTTGAGGGCTCTGCACTGACCCCTTGATAGAAAACAGGTACTCATTATTTGCATAATTGCACATATTTTCCTGTTGAGTGTAGCGGTACGTTTGAATGCTACCCTGGCATATTCTTACTGCTAGCCACAAGTGCTTAGCATTCTACTATTATTTATTTAGAGCCGGCAGTGGCACAGTAGCAATCGGACAGTAGCAATCGCACAGTGATTATAGGACGTTCATTCAGTGAAAAAGTGCGCTAATTTTGTGCGCATTAGTTTAAAAAAATATATTTCGAAGCATTTGGCTTTTTTGTGCTAGCAAAACTCAGCTCCTTGTTCAACAATCATAATATTGTTTAAATAAAAATAAACTCGTTCATAATTGTTACTGGTAGTATTTCAAAGTGAGTTGACTGCTGTGGGGTATTTATGTACGAATGTAAATAATTTCAATGCGGCTTATGCATATAGTATAGTCAAAACCTGAATCGTAGAAGTGCGATGTGTTCAATATTATGGTATGTATGTGCACACATGCATACTAATGAATAGTTTATTATTTGCTTGCCACAAATGGCTGTAAACATGAGATCCATACGATGTTTCCCCGTTCATTCTTATCGCTTATAAGTGCACAGTTAATTTATACATGGATGCGTAATAACGCATAATAAAATAATCCAAAAATAGTGAAAATAAAAAATTATTTTTCTAGACATACATATGCATGTACATACATATGTACATATTTAAACGCTATTAACAACTATAATATATGCATTAATTAAAGTTGTTTTCTATTAGATTGAAGATAATCAGCCAACCAACTTGAAGTAATTTTACATACATATTATATGTATGTATGAATATTGTTCGATTGTATATATGTATACATAAGTATATATTATATATGTATATGTATATACGTATGTGTTTTGGCAATAATTGTTATGTCTAGCAATAACAGTATAGGTATAACCGAAATCTTAATCGAGCCTTAATAATTTTATAATCACACTATACACACACATATATACATACATATATAATTATTGTTTAGCTCCAACAGCTTTCAAAACTGCAATCGTTAATATGTATGCTCGCAATATTACATATCTTATCGTGGGCATTGCATTTATAAACATTAACCACACGTAGTACCTAACTGGATCCAAAATTTACAAATATTTATAAACATTTCATGTTCTTATCGTGTGCTCCATGTATGAAGGTGTGTGTGTGTGATCACTGGCAATACATAGGTCAAGTCATTATACTCTCGCAACCTGTTGCTACAGAGTATAATAGTTTTGTTCAACTAACGGTTGTTTGTATCACCTAAAACTAATCGAGTTAGATATAGGGTTATGTATATATAAATGATCAGGATTAAGAGACGAGTTGAAATCCGGGTGACTGTCTGTCCGTCCGTCCGTCTGTCCGTCCGTGCAAGCTGTAACTTGAGTAAAAATTGAGATATCTTTACGAAACTTGGTAGGCATGTTTCTTGGTACCGTGAGACATTTGGTATTGCAGATGGGCGTAATCGGATTACTGCCACGCCCACAAAACGCCATTAATCCAAAACAAATAAATTGCCATAACTAAGCTCCGCAATAAGATACAAGACTGTTATTTGGTACACAGGATCACTTTAGGGAGGGGCATCTGCAGTTAAAATTTTTTTTAAAGTGGGCGTGGTCCCGCCTCTAATAGGTTTAATGTGCATATCTCCTAAACCGCTAATGCTATAATAACAAAGTTCACTGCGTGACACCGCCCACTTTTAGGTGAAAACCCATATCTTGGGATCTTTTTAACCGATTGCAACCAAGTCCGGTGCATAACGTTCTTTTCATATTTCTATGTTATGGTGCGAAAATGGGCAAAATCGAACTACAACCACGGCTATTTCCCATATAACACTATTTTCAATTCCATCTGATTCTTTCACTTTCCACTATGCATATCAAGCAACAATGATTATATCGGGGTAAAACTTTGCGTGAATAATACGTTTAAAGTATGCCACCTTGTGTCCAAAAATTGTCTAAATTGAACCAAAACTGTTCAAGCCCCTAAGTACTAAATATGAGGACCCCAGTGCCTATAGTCGACCTTCTACCGAAAATATCAGCCAATCCACAAAGAAATCTCAAACGAGTATACCATTTGACTTTGCGAGAGTATAAAATGTTCGGTTATATCCGAAACTTAGCTTCCTTCACGTTTCTTGTATTTCATGTAAATCTCCAAAATTTTACAACAGAAGCATATACTTACATATGTAGTTTTAATGCTTGTCTGGAATATTTTGAAGACGTGTGATACGTTGCCTAACAATATTTTTTAGTTCTTCAGACAACCATAGTCTAATTTATTATTATTAGTTATCTCATCAAATCTAATTATTTAAATTTATATTATAAATATTCTATAATTTAAAAAAATTAAAAATATAAATTAAAATTTAATTTATTAAATTTATTACTTCATTATATGTTTATGTAGTGTTAGTGTTCGATCAGCGTGGCAATGATACATAGGTAGAGTCATTTTAATGTGAATTTCGCAGAGAAATCTACAACAGAAGACATATAGTTTTATTCATTGTATAAATCTGCAAGTAACCAATCTAAGATTTTCACTAATACACACGCAAAATGTCCCACGTGGTACGGGTTGCCTCGAAAATTCTACTACTAAAAATCACACTTGGTACGGGCTGCCTACTTATATTCTACTACTAAAGTGACACTTGGTAGGGTTGGCCAACCAATATTCTACTACTAAAACGTCCAAATGACACAAATCTGCTATAGTGTGTGCCGTGTTAAGTTTTTAAATTTATAACTTTAAGAATGATTTCATTACATATTCAAATATTTTTCGATTGTTATAATTCGTAAAGATTCCATTTACATAGTATTATTTATTGTATTGAAATATATTTAATGTTTCCAATTTTATCATAAATATTATTGTGATCGGTAACGCGCCAATCTTGCAACCTCAGAGGTGGCGAGGAAGCAATTAATATATAAAACTCATTTGTATATCATTCGATAATACTCTTGAAAGTTTTCATTATTATTTCCTTTACGAATACATGTTCATAAACAAATTGTTAAACTACATCCTTTTATTTAAAAATCTGTGTCAAAAAAGGCATATTCGATCAGGTGATCACAGCTGTTTCACACACATAGGAAAACAGCTGATTCTTTGGCTACTTGTAGACTTACACAATGGTTTTAATGCTTGTCTGGAATATTTTGAAGACGTGTGATAACGTTGCCTAACAATATTTTTTGGTTCTTCAGACAACCATAGTCAAATTTATTATTGTTATGTTATCTCATCAAATCTATATTATAATTATTTAAATTTTAAATAAATAGTGCTTAATTAAAATTTAAAATTTAAAATTGATAACATATACACTCGCCAGAAAAATTATCCGTACACCTCGACATGAAAACAATAAACTGATAAATTTGTGATCAAATAACTTATTATGTATAAAAATAGTATACAAAAGTTTTATTTAATATTTTTACTACACTTTCCATACGTTTTTTACTTTTAGACAAACACTTAAAAAAAATTCCCAGAACAAAAACTATACACAGTTACTTAAATTCAACGGAAAAAGTATCCGTACATATCAAAACGGGATATTTCCCTTGTAATATGGTGACAAATACATTCCCTTAAGCGCTTATATTGTATTGTATAATTGATCTCGAACTTGACGGTTGACCTTAAAGTTATTATAATTTTTCATTGTGCATAAATCGCGATGACCCTAAAATTAAAGAAGTTAGTGCTGGCGAAAGAAAAATTATTCTTAAACTCAGAAAAAGAAGGAAAATCATTCCGAGAAATAGGTAAAATGATAGGAAGGACACATTCTTCTGTGCAGTATGTGGTGGAAGCATTCAAAAAAACTAAGTCGATTGTGCCAAAGCCACGCTCTGGTCGACCGAGTATATTAACCGTTCGAGAAAAACGAACAATATTACAGTCAGTAAAAGCAAATCCTCGACTTACTGCCTCGAAAATATGTGAACATATTAAAAATTTGTTCGACAAGGATCTCCATGAAGATACTGTACGAAAATTTTTGAAGAAAGATGGGTATCACGCACGTGTAGCGCGTAGGAAACCCTTTATATCCGAAGTAAATAGACAGAAACGTATGGATTTTGCAAACAAATATATCAGCAAGCCTCGGGAGTTTTGGAACGTGTCTTATTCACCGACGAAAGCAAGTTTTGTGCTTTTGGCATTAAGGAAAAAAGTTGGTGTGGCGTAAGAGTGGTACTGCACTTGATAAAGAAAAATCTTTTACCCACCGTCAAACATGCGGAGGAGGTGTGAATGGTATGGGGTGTATGGCGGCAGAAGGAGTAGGCAAACTCGTTTTTATAGATACAATAATGGATCAATTCGGCTATTTAAGTATTTTAAAAAATAATTTGAAGGAAAGTGCTCAGCAGTTGGGGCTTGGTGATAGATTTTTGGTTCCAACAGGATAATGATCCAAAGCACACGGCGCACAATACCAGGCTTTGGTTGCTTATAACATAAAAAATCAATTGCGCTCGCCACCTCAACTCTCCAGACCTCAACCCATCGAGCATTTGTCGGATTTACTGGAGTGCAGAATCCGCCAACACACCATAACCTCCAAGAAATGCTCAAAATGTGATCATAAATGAATGGGCGAAAATTACAAATCATGACACATCCAAACTAGTTCATTCAATACCACATCGACTTGCCGAGGTCCTAAAACGTAAGGGCTATCCTACTAGTTATTAGATATTAAATTTTTCCAAAATAATTTAATTATATTTAATTATAATTCAAAATGTACGAATACTTTTTCTGTTTCATTATGTGAGCTTTTTTGTTTTTTGTTCTGTGAAATTTTTTTTAAAGTGTATGTCTAAAAAAAAAAACTCATGGAAAGTGTATAAAAATACTGAATAAAACTTTTGGATACTATTTTATACATAATAAGTTATTTGATCACAAATTTCTCAGTTTTATTGTTTTCATGTCGAGGTGTACGGATAATTTTTCTGGCGAGTGTATAATATATATAAGTTGCCACGAAGTTTGTACCTAACACTCAGAAGGAAACGTCGGAGATCCTATAAAATATTGATATAAATGATCAACGTTACGAGCTGAGTCGATTTAGCCATGTCCGTCTATATGTTCGTATATACGCAAACTAGTCTTTAAATTTTTGAGATAATTGAGATTTGCCCAAGGCAATTATGCAATCTCCGAAGAAATAGTTTAGATCGGATCACTGTAGCACTGTCATATAAACTGAACGATCGAGATTGAGTTCTTGTATGGAAACTTTATATTTGCAAAAGGTATTCAAGCTTCGTGCCACCAAAGTTAACGTTTTTTCTTGTTTTCTATATTTTCCTCCCTCGCTCTATCGTTGAGGTAGATCTACAAATTTCTGTAGAATTTATGTCAAAGCTTTGTTCGGGTGTTGGCAAGTGTTTTTGTTACCTTTTAACTTTGTACGCGAGTGATTGTCGTGCTAAAACAAAAACTCGCTTCTATACATATCAAATTTTATGCACTTGTATGCAAATGTTCTATGAAAATGAACAGCTATAAGTAGATATTTACCCATTATACTATTAATCTATTAATAAACAGTATAATTCTCCGATCCATTAGCTGATATACAAAGGGTAGCCAAAAATTATTTTTGCCCAAAAAACAAAATATATGTGTAATATATATATAAATATTTATAATATATTGTACATATATTTTTTTAACTAGAAAACAGAAATATGTATTTAATCGTTGTCAGCTATTTGTATTTCATGGTTTATGCTATTTTGACTAACTTTTATTGTCATGCACATTTTCACATTTTTGTAATGTATTTCACGATCTTAATTGTTTAAATAATTTTACAGAGCTCTTGATTGCAATCGCTAGGAGAATCTTTTGAAAGTCACCATGAACGTAAATATGGGCATATCACCTGGAAATGTTGTGATGTTCCCGTCATTGGGAGATGACGATTTAATGCCGTTATATACAAGTTTACAAAATTATCTGAGGGCACCGCACAATTGCGTGCATCACTTTTGGCATTTCAAAACGAACAAATCATCACTAATAATAATTTTATTAATGACTACCAAGGCGGTTTGGAACCAATGGATATTCCTTCAGCGGATACATTGTCATTAACCGAACGCAAAAACGGTTTAATTGTGAACGTGGGTAACCTGCTTAGAGAATATGTGTTATTCAAGATCAGCTGATCGTGTGCATGAAAGTTTGGCAACGGAAGCAGACATTAGCTGGCCAATGGTGCACCGTTCCACCAATTAGATGGTATACAGTTTGTTGTAGTAACTTAATGACGATCATCACACGACATTACTTTATTTATAAGTACTCTCTTGCATTTGGAAGATGAGCCAACCTAAACGAGTTCTTGAAACATGCACTAGGCCTTACATCAAATACTCATAGTTTCAACATTCATTCGTCGAGAAGCAACCGCCGCAAGTGAAGAAAAAGGGGACAAAGTAAGCCATTAGGTAATGCTATAGCAATTGAATAAAAATTACATTTTATGGTACTTTCAGACTTTCGGCAACTGTGCGCTGGTTGATCGGTGATATATTGGGCATATACTTGAGCAAACCAGTTGTAAATGTGAAATACTCTCAGGTAAAATTACAAAGGCGGTTTTACGTCATGATCTAGTATAACATATACGCAATTAAGTACGGTTTTATCTATATTTATTTTCTTATTATGAGAGAGATTTCGACGTAGATCTTTTAAAAGAACATATGTTCTTAAATAATAAGAATTTATCATTATTTTGGCTAGATGAAAGAAAAGTTCGATTGTTTTTTGTTAAAAGAAAGATTTATAAGATTGGTATTATTTATCATTCCCTCGATAGATGTGACCTATGAATCGATGCAATAATTCTTCTATCCTCACTTACTATTTGTATAAATTTTAAATTTTTTAATTATGAGTGTTATGTGAATTTTTATCGAGATAGGGGATAACATGTTTTCTGTCATTCGGTTTATCTTATTTTTAGTTCAATATTTATATAACGATAGGTTATCAGTTGGGCCGAAGGCGCCAGTGCAGAAAGAATTTTGACCGCGATTGAATTATGAACACCCGGTGTGCGACCCGGGGTTATATTTTTGAAGTGCGGCGAAGGCCGCCATGCAAATAAAAAATCTTACAAAAAAAAAGTAATGTTAAGAGAATATATACTCTCTAAAAACTCAATTTTTATTAAGGATAATTATATAATGTAGTGAAGATTTTGAAATTTGAAATATGAACTACATATGGCGTAAATATGTAAATTCAGCATCATGATCCATTGTGAATATCAATGCAATAAAAATACGCTTTAAAGCCATAAAACTTTTTCTTTTATAAAATGGAAAAATTAATCTCATAATATTTTGTAGAGGGTGATTGTTGTTTTATTTATTTGATTGCTTTCAACCGTTGGAATATGGCAACACTTATTAATCTGACAACATGGAAACCATTGTTTTGTTCATATTACGAAAATTTGTGTAAAAATTAAATGCTTATTAAAGCAAATACTTATAAATATTAAAATAAAATATTAGAAACATTGAAGTGAAAAGTTAGTGTAATAAGTGCAATAATTATAAAAGAAAAGATAACCATAAATCGAGAAAATGTTAAATGAAATTTGTGAAATTTCACTTAAAATGCAAATATCTCGAAAACTATAAGTTTCCGGCGCAATAATTATATATTCGAGATCTGGAGATCCTCTATCAAAACCCCTCTAATCTAAAATCATGGATGCTAAACTAAAGTTTTCCCAAGTATTTGTTTGTTATTTGCTGTATAATTATCAATTAATTAGTTTTCTTTAACTTTAATAGAAGTTTAAATAGCAAATGAAATTAGTGTGTACACACTCGGCATAACTTTGCAACAGAGAGTTGTCTTTCGGCAACTAAATCGAGAGCATTATGCTCTTTCAAATATTATTTCAAGGATTAAAAACACGACCTAAGCACATATAATTTAATACTTTTTATAAATAATATTTGTGCACATAGTATAAGAATACTTTGAGCTGTTGTGTAATAATAAAAAGCCAACTAGCTTCTTTGAAGATACGATTTATTTTGAAAGGTCACCTCATTTCTATAGAAACACAGTTGTCTTAATAAATATTTAATTTAGAACTCCATTTCACATGTATTAACAATTATTATTTTTGTTTATGAAAAGTTAAATGACATCTTCAAAAGCCGATGGAAACTTGCATGATATTTAAAATGGCGGAAACTAGTATTGCCAGATCAGTTGGATTGTGTCTCATACCTAGTTAGTGGATTTATCACTGTAAATACAATAATTTTTGTTTACCTGTACCACATTTAGAATATAATAGCTTGTTCAGTTTTTACGCTATTTATTCTTTGGTTACACTAAAATTAAACATTTGGAAAATTAATGATAGATATTGATGGAAATGTGAACTTGTAGTGGATTGGTAATGTGTGGCTTGTGTGAGAAATGAGTGAATAGTGAGAAAAAGTGTATATGGGAGTGTATTATAGAGAATCCTGAGCACGGGAATGAATCAAAGTGTGAAGGGACGAATTGAGAGAGTAGGTGAGTAAAGGATTCGATGGGGGCGTGCGGTGGGGACTGCAGGGTAGGGGTTCCGTAACTAGGGTAGACGGAATAAGTAAGGGAATATGGAATAGATGTTGATACAGTGAAGTGGTATAGATGAGTATGAGCCTGCTATGTATGTAATCCAGAATTTAATGGTAGTGAAGTTCTCTAGGAAGAGTATATGGAGAGTCAACATCTGTAGACTTGGGGGATGGGTGTTGTGCCTAGTATGTTATTGTAGAGATATAATCTTCAGAGGGCAAGATGATTAGTAGAGCTATGTGGCTAAATAGTGATCTAGGTCTTAACTCGAGACCTGTGGGAGACGTCATGCGGGTGGCTAGTCTGGGGGGTTGGATCGTGGGGTGTGAGTGCTGTGTGTATCAGGTATGTTACTGTTTGTAATCTGTGGATGCTATGAGGATCGTAGCGGGTGGGGTGAGTGGGAGCGAAGTGTGCTCTTGATATTTCTTATTCCTACGTTACCGTTGAATAGGGGGGGTCTAGGAGAGGGCTGAATGAGAGTTTCCTGGATGGGTGGTGCAAGATGCGTGAGTACGGGATGGCGGTTACTGTGAGTGGCAGATAGAGAGAGGGAGTATTCCAAGTATGTGTATAATGTGTGGAACTAAGGTGTCTGGTCCAATTGGCATAAGGATGCTCAAAACAGTATATGAACTAAGTAAAATGTGGTACATGTGGATCTCGCGAGATACTTGTGGGTGAATTGCAAGTGAGCATTGAGGTAGTAAGTGAGTACGCTCGAACTGAAAGTAGAGTCCGGGATTAATTGTGACATCATGACGGAGTGCTGATCTAATAACGAACGAAAATATTTTAGTTATCCAATAATAAAATATGCAGTCTTTAGTAACTTATGAATATGATCTCAAGCTTCAACGCAGTAAAACTATCGTCGTCTGTTATCATAAATTCGTTGGTTCCAGCATTAATGCTTAGATACTACGTGCACAAGCGTCAACTGAAACTTGAATGACGACTGTCAACTCCACAATAACTGTAAGACAATGCATATCTGACGTTCACGATACTGAAATTATTTCGTCAAACCAATACGAAAAATCGTAACGATTAACATTGTATTATATTACTTAATAATTTATCAGTACACTTTCATTTCTAGTATTGTTTCATTTGTATATTGAATAGAACTTAAAACAACTTACGATAGCAAATTTATAATTATTTAAGCGTATGAAATTCAAATAAATTTCTTATTTCACAATATTTGACAGAGCTGTAGCAAGCGATTACATATTGAGAGACTTCCATATACCACCAAGTGATATGGTAATTGACATGGGAAATAGTGCCAATGAATTCGATTGCTAATCCATATGCGGGTTTTCAGCATATTTTCGTTATGTGATCACTAAAATGTATAGCCAATATCCTTAATACCGTGGCTACCGCACCTGTCGTCCCCGAGTTATAATTGATTCAGCCTGAACTGATTTATGATTACACCATAATAACTATCGAGTGTATAGGCTGAGGAAAAGCACTATTTTCATATATAAATGTCAGTGAGATGAGAGACAAAGTTTGAACATGCCGAGGTGAATAATCTTCCGATACGTCCGTCTGTCCGTCCGTGACAAGCTCTAACTTAGAGTAAAATGGAGACATGCTTTATGAAACTTAAGTAGACATAATGCTTGGGTAATTATCTGTTGAGGATCGGGTGTGTATTGCAGTGGGGTAATCGGAACTGCCAATCGACTCACAAAACGCATTTAGAATGCAAAGTACAAATAAAATTGCCATAACTAAGCTCCGAAATAAGATACAAGATTGTTATTTGGTACACAGGATCACATTAGGGAGGGGCATCTGTATTTAAAATTTTTTTAAAGTGGGCGTGGTCCCGCCCCTAATAGGTTTATTGTGCATATCTCCTAAACCGCTAACGCTATAATAACAAAATTCACTGGAAGCGAATGTTTTTTGCACTTCTATTGACGGTGTGAAAATAGTTGAAATCAGGTGGCAACTCCGCCCACTCCCCATATAACGGTACTGTTAGAAACTACTAAAAGCGCGATAAATCAAGCACTAAACACGCCAGAGACATTACATTTTATCTCTGGGATGGTATGAGATGACTTTATAGGAACCGCGTTCAAAATTAGACAGTGGGCATGGCACAGCCCACTTTAAGGTGAAAACCCATATCTCGAGATCTGCTTAACCAATTTCAACAAAATTCGGTACATAACGTTATTTTCATATTTCTATGTTATAGTGCGGACTACAACCACGCCTATTTCCCATATAACACCATTTTCAATTCCATCTGATTCTTTCACTTTCCACTATGCATATCGAGCAACAATGATTATATCGGGGTAAAACTTTGCGTGAATAATAAGTTTGAAGTATGTACCTTGTGACCAAAAATTGTCTAAATTGAACCAAAACTGTTCAAGCCCCTAAGTACTGAATATGTGGACCCCAGTGCCTATAGTTGACCTTCTACCGAAAATATCAGCCAATCCACAAAGAAATCTCAAACGAGTATACCATTTGACTTGGCGAGAGTATAAAATGTTCGGTTACATCCGAACTTTGCCCTTCCTTGCTTGTCTAATTTAAATTACTATGTGTATTCGTATTTATTACAGAAATCTTATAATCAACGACATCAAACGCTCCGAGAGAAAGGGTTCCGAAATTGTTACAGACGGCAAATACGCTTTGCTCTTTTACACAACCACTGTATATAAGGGATATGCGATTAATGTAAGTTAATACATAATTAATACCTAGCTAATATACATGAAGAGTCTCTAAAGCACTAGCCAAAAAAAAAATTTTATTTTTGAGATGTCGAATTTTCAGAATTACTAAAACTTTGCAAATTAGTACAGTAGGACCAGGAAGGGCCGTGAGATCACCCATTCAACTTAGGGTGAACGATGAAATCGTACAAAATATGAAGGATATTGAGCATTAGAGAGATAGCAAGGCGTCACACTTTTGGTTTGATGTTTATGCTTGTGAAGGAATCATTTAAATAGCTGTATCCAAGAATATTAAATTTTTCACAACGAGATTTAAACATAAATATTTACTCAGCCACCTTCTTGTGCGCAGTATCGCGTTGAGGGGCAAAAATAAGAAAATACTTAAACAACCATTTTAAAGGCGATAGTAAAGCTTAAGAATATGTAAAATTTATATTTTTTTTACTTAAATTTTATGAAACTTTATATGATTTTTATTAACAAGAGTTATTTTTGTATTTGCATCTTCCTATCATATTTAGTGCTGGGCAATTAGTCTACCGTTAGTTGTGGTGGTGCACGATATTCAAGCGCCACAGGCCTGGGCCACGATTATTTGGGATAACGCGTTTTCCGTAATCGAACGTGAACCATTCAAAGTGCCAGAGTTTGTACCTTGTACAAAACTGTTGGAAATATTAAATATGCAATTCGCCTACTATACAGGTCGTCCATTGACTGCAGAAAATTTGGAAGTTCTTCGTAAGTTCAAATGCCAGAGAATTTACACACATTTCCTTAAAATCTGACCGCATTTTATTTGGCAGGTAGAAAACTTGCAACGACGGAAGCTGGTCAGCCTAACGAGTGTATAAGTTATTCGCAATTCTGTAAAGATAAGTTGCCTGAATGTAACTTTACGTTTTGGGATTGGTTCTATGGCATAATGAAATTAACAAAGATGTATTTCCCGCAAATATGGAAGGATGGGCATATTCTCGGATTCATAAGTAAGCCGGAAACCAAGGAAATATTAACTCATGAAGCCATGGGAACTTTCTTACTTCGCTTCTCGGATAGTACGAAAGGTAACAACGCTTGCATATGCACATACATATGTATATGCAAACATACATACACATATATTGAATGCGTGACTTTTACACACATATTTTAGGTGCTATAACTATTGCCTATCGTGATTATTGTGGAAACATATTATTTTTGGCGCCGTGGACTTGCGTTGACTTGCAAATACGTTCTCTGGCTGCTAAGATACGAGATTTGAATGTTTTGAAGGCCGTATATCCAACGATGGTGCTCAGCAATGTTGCTTTCTCTAGTTCACCCACAACGCAAAATGGTAATTATGATGATTTAGTATCCAATATGTAGATATGTACATATTTTTGCGAACTTTTGATGTAAAAAATCATGAATGAATCAAACGGTACAATAACAGTAAATATACAAAAATTACTCAATCTATGCCACTTACAACGGGATATAGACATAGTTACTACCCTTATAAATATCTCCGTAATTTAGCCCAGCTTCTGACTTTTTCTGGAACAGGCTCCCTGAACTATTCTATTACTATTGTATCGTTTTTTGATTAAAAAAAAGCATTTACCTTGAATATTTTTTATAGTTACAGCCACATCTAAGGATGGTTATGTAGGCAATGAATTAATAACGCAAATTACCACCCCTCACTCTTCTAATGACCAGCAAACGTAAGCGCCTTATATAAATCCGTAAAGTACATAAAGTTAATGTTTATTTTTACCCTAGTTCGCCACAACATTCTGAAGTAACTGTTGCTATGCCCTGTTTCCCAACCGCACAATCTGGTAAAATATTTCATTCTTAAAAATGATTTATAAAATTTATAATATAGTAAATATTCTTAAACTATTACAGAAATAGTCAATAGTTTCAATCACATTACATGGCAGGACTTGGATATCGCAGAATCAACAGCATCGGCAGATGAGTTTTCTTTAAGCCAACTTATGTCCTCTGGATCATCAATGATTGGAGTTTAAACTGCAAATAAGGATTTTCATATCTATATGTAAATATACAAGTATATATATATATATCTTTATATTAATAGTAATTTATATATATATATATATATATATATCTTTATATTGATAGTAATATATATATATATATATTACATAATACATAATAAATTGTTAAAACAGTTAAAACGTTAAACGCTTTTAAACACTTTTTCATGAATAATTGTGAAAATCACTGTTATATCAAAAATACTTGTAAATTTGCTAATTTTCAGTCTTATATAATAAGTTTATATATATATTTGCACATAATATAGTTTATTCATATCATTATCGTATACGTATAAATAATATTTTGATTATACTTGTGATATGCCAGTTTTTTAGTTAAATTGATTTTTTTATATAAATGTTTATAAACTTGTATATTTATGTATTATATAATTAATAAAAAGTGCACTAAAATTCTAAGTTGTACCCACTCAGTTCAAACAGCATTAATTAGTTTATCTTTAAACGCGTTTTTCTTAAGACTACATTTTTAAATTTGCTTGAATGATTTCTGAGAGAGAAACGATCCGATTACTAACAATTTTTTCTACACGTTCTGTATGTAGTTCTTCATACAATCAGCCATCAGACCAAAATTTTAGGTAAAATTCTGATGTTATTACAAGCTTATTGCTAAAGGTTCATCTAAGGTAAGTAATATTCTTTTCGTAATAAAGTATTTAAAGATTTTAACGCCTTATATTTGCAATTGATGTGATTTGGCGGAAATTCTTAAACACGAAAATGCCCTTTTTTCGAAGAATCATTAATTGCTAAAATAGAAATACACTCAAGTATACAAAAGGTTATACACTTTTATTTTAACAAATGCCAAAAACTATTTTCACTCATGTCTAACACAAGCATCGGAAGCACATGTTTGGCATTCGAAATGGCGGCGGAAACTTAACATAGCGGTTCGACAGTGTTACCAGTATCATCATCTATCATTAATTTTCCAAATGTTTAATTTTAGTGTAACCAAAGAATAAATAGCGTTGAAATTCACTGAACAAGTAAATTTTTATATTCTAAATGTGGTACCGAAGGTAAACAAAAAAATTATTGTATTTACAGTGATAAATCCGGACTAAACTAGGTATGAGACACAATCCAACTGATCTGGCAATACTAGTTTCCGCCGCCATTTTAAATATCATGCAAGTTTCCGATCGGCTTGTGAAAAATGTCATTTTAACTTTTCATAACAATGGAAATAAAATAATTTGGTTAATACATGTGAAATGGAGTTCTAAATTAAATATTTATTAAGACAAACTGTGTTTCGTATGGTATAGAAATGAGGTGACCCTTCTCAAAAATAAATCGTATCTTCAAAGAAGCTAGTTGGCTTTTTTATTATTGTACCACAAAGCTCGGGAAAGTATTCTTATACATATGTGCTACAAATATTATTTATAAAAAGTATTAAATTCTATGTGCTTGGTCGTGTTTCTTAATCTCTGAAATAATATATTTTGAAAGAGCATAATTGCTCTCGATTTAGTTTGCCGAAAGACAACTTCCTCTGTTGCAAAGTTATGCCGAGTGTGTACACACTAAATTTTCATTTGCTATTTAAACTATCTATTAAAGTTAAAGAAAAACTAATTAATTGATAATTTATACAGCAAATAACAAAACAAATACATATGGGAAAACTTTAGTTTAGCATCCCATGATTTTAGAGTTAGAGGGGTATGGTTGGATAGAGGAGATTCTCCAGATCTCGAATATATACAATTATTGCCGCCGGAAACTTATAGTTTTCGAGATATTTGCATTTTAAGTTGAAAATTTCACAAATTTCATTTTACATTTTCTCGATTTATGGTTATCTTTTCTTTTATATTATGCACTTATTATACACTAACTTTTCACTTCAATGTTTCTACATATTTATTTTATATTAAATATTTAAGTATTTGCTTTAAATAAGCATTTAATTTTTACACAATTTTCGTAATATGAACAATAACAAATGGGTTCCATGTTGTCAGATAATAAGTGTTGCCATATCCAAACGGTTGAAAGCAATCAAAATAAATAAAAAACCCAATCACCCTCTACAAAATATTATGAACTTAATTTTCCATTTTAATAAAAGAAAAAGGTTTTATGGCTTAAACGTATATTTTATTGCATCTGATAATTTCACAAATGGATCATGATGCTGATTTACTATATTTTTACGCCATATGTATTCATATTTCAAATTTTCAAAATCTTCACTACTATTATAATTATCCTTAATAAAAATTGAAGTTTTTAGAGAGTGATATATTCTCTTTAACATTACTTTTTTTTGTTAAGATTTTTTATTTGCACTGGCGGCCTTCGGCCGCACTTCAAAAATATAACCCCGGTCGGTCCAACACCGGGGTGTTCATAATTCAATCGCGTCAAACTTCTTTCTGCACTGGCGGCCTTCGGCCGCGCTTTAAAAAAATAACCCTGGCCAATCCAATACCATAATTTATCAATAGAAGGGAATGAACAAAATTATAGTTCATGTATTTGGGGTATAATCCTCTTTTATTGTTCATTTTAATTCGCTTTCAAAATATATATTTATATAATAGATATGGACAACATGGAACCCAATTGTTATTGTTCATATTACGAAAATTGTGTAAAAATTAAATGCTTATTTAAAGCAAATACTTAAATATTTAATATAAAATAAATATGTAGAAACATTGAAGTGAAAAGTTAGTGTAAAATAAGTGCATAATATAAAAGAAAAGATAACCATAAATCGAGAAAATGTAAAATGAAATTTGTGAAATTTTCAACTTAAAATGCAAATATCTCGAAAACTATAAGTTTCCGGCGGCAATAATTATATATATTCGTGATCTGGAGAATCTCCTCTATCCAACCATACCCCTCTTGACCCTGAAATCGTGGAATGCTAAACTAAAACCCACCCAAATAAAATATTGTTCTAATCCATTTACAGCGCGAAAATGAAAAACGACATTCAAAGGCGAATACTTCGATATTGAGGATAAATTCGAAAAATTAAGAAACAAAGAATCAATTATTCTATAGGTATTAGTATCTAGGTAAATTTAATCAGTAAAAAACGAAATCCATTTTGTGCTGTGAGACGTGGGATGTCTAATATTATACGATATAAAATATATGTACATAATTTTTGTTAAGTGTCTTTTGATATCAAGCAGTTAACTTTGATTGATTTAGAACTAAAATAAAACAAGTTTTTTCACAAAAAAAAATCTATGTACACTCGAAAATTCTCAAAGTTTTTAATGGTTTAATGCTTCTCGTTGTCTTCCTAGCAATGTGATTTTCTAGCAAGGAACTTTAAGCAAAATCAACAAGAATACACGAATAAATCAATTTCAAATTGTTCTATAAATAAAGGTTCATATGTATATACTCGTAAACATCCTTTATATGTACATACAAAAACTTAAACAAACTTAGATAAACATCTAAAAATATTTATGGTTTGATAGTATGTTTGTATGTACGTATTATAAATATTTAATGCTAATATATGCGCTTTAACCATTTTCCTGTGAAATTAGCAATCAATTATTTTTTTGCAAATACATTTTTATTTAGCGCAATTACTCGTTGCACATTCGTTCGTTTCCAATATTTGCATTTCATTGCGAAATTTTTTTCCAATACTCGGTTTACCCACAATTCTTGGCTATTATTTCCATTCGTTTAATACGGTTGATTTTCTTGCGCTGTTATTTTCTCGCTGTGTGAGACTTATACTCTTAACTATTTATTACT